TAAATATATAACAGTAATGGTGTTGCAAATCAGGTAACGGGCAGAAGAAAAAACACATTTCAGACAATCAGTTTGACTATGTTCCGACTCTACTACACATTCAACTTGTAGAGTGACTCCTGAAAGCCTAACATAACCCTATAGGCTAAAGTCAAGACGCCTTGGATACAAACATAAAGACGGTTTACATACACCTCTAAATGCTCATATAAAGACACACCTATATACATCTCTCGAAAGGAGTCCCTAAAGACGCTCAAGAAGACAAACTAGACAAAGAGACGCTTCTTCAAGTGCTCCTACAGACGCCGCTGCAAACTCCCCTTACAGAACTTCTTTTGACGCCCATATCGACGCCCCATGGATATCCTACAGACTCCCCCTACAAACTTCTCTTGAGACTCCCCTACAGACTCCCCCTTGCACTCCCCCTACAGACTCCCCCTACAGACTCCCCCTACAGACTCCCCCTACAGACTTCCCCTACAGACTCCCCCTACAGACTCCCCCTACAGACTCCCCCTTCCACTCCCCCTACAGACTCCCCCACAGACTCCCCCTACAGACTCCCCCTACAGACTCCCCCTACAGACTCCCCCTACAGACTCCCCCTACAGACTCCCCCTTCCACTCCCCCTACAGACTCCCCCTACAGACTCCCCCTTCCACTCCCCCTACAGACTCCCCCTACAGACTCCCCCCCCCACAGACTTTCCCCTACAGACTTCCCCTACAGACTGCCCCTTCCACTCCCCCTTCCACTCCCCCTACAGACCTCCACAGACTCCCCCTACAGACTCCCCCTACGTACTCCCCCTTCAGACTCCCCCTAGAGACTCCCCCTAAAGACTCCCCCTACATAAGCCCCTACATACGCCCCTACCGACTCCCACCTACAGACTCCCCCTACCGACTCACGTTTAGACTCCTACCATGACGCCCAACTGACCTCCCCAGACTCCCCTACAAACTCCCCTAAAAAAACTCCCCTACATACGCCCCTACAGACTAGCCAAACATCCTCTCACAACCCCCCCCCCCCCTCATCAGTGTGACAGACCAAAACATCTCTCATCTGAGACCCAACCGCCATCTTGCCATCGATCAGCCTAACTATCAGGGGAAGTAAACAAGATATTTGAATGTTTGGTCGTCGCTGTTTCCTCCCCTTTGTTCCCCTATTCTCTATCAGACGACTTCTATCGATTTCTGAACAGGAGCATCGACTAAAAGATCGTATCCACCCAATTTCGTTCTCTCTGTTTCTTTTTTCGATTGTTGTAGTTTCTATAAATAGCTTTTGCTGAAAGTATCTTTTGTACTAAAAAATATCTTTTTATTATAATCTTAGCTTTAATCCAGTCCATGAACTGAGCTACCTAACCCTGAGACCTAATAAATAAACATAACACTATGATATATCCACGACTAAACAACCATAGTGTAGTATTTAGATAGTACTAGATTTGGTTTTCAGATTCATTTCCTTTGACAAAGCTCTACATCACACAGCGGCTAGCTGAGATTTTAGTTGTGTTGTTATTGTTTTTTTCTGTGGGTTTTTTCTTTAATATATAGGTCGGTGTTTCAGAGTTAAGAAAACTAAAATTTTTACCGCCCCCCCCCCCCCCCCGAACGAAATGAAATTTATATAATTTATACAGAAAATATATACTTTTAACAGTGTCCGCCACCCCGAAGAAAGTTTACCGCCCCCCCCCCCCCCCCCCGAAAATTTCAAGTGCCCCCCGGAGAAAAAAGTCTGGAAGAAACACTGCCCCCTCCACATTAAGACACACCCCTTCACATTAAGACACACCCCTCTACCTTAAGACAAACCCCTTCAACACAAGATACACTCCTCCGCCTTAAGACACACACCCCGCCTTAAGACACACCCTTCCAGCTTAGGGCACACCCGTCCGACTTAGGACACACCCCTCCACCTTAAGACACACCCTTCCACCTTAAGACCCACCCCTCCTCCTTAACACATTCTCCTAACAAGGCCATACCACCTCCTCCATAATCCAAAAACTAACTACAGAAACTAAAAATACAAAACCATTACATTCTACCATTCTTATTTTAAAATTAAATGCTTTACACTACTTATAAAGAACCTTCCATATTTTATTCTATTCTTTACTGCTGTGGAACTGCTATTTGCGACCCCGAATTTCACGATTATCTCCCTTCATTACTCCACACTCCACGCATGAATCATTTATCCTATCAGTTATTCATAATTTTTGCATTGTGTTATCTATCTAAAAATCACCATTGCCCTCGCACATTTTGGGTTTTTATGTACATACATATGGGGCTGCTAGTTAATATGTATATGGATGTATTTATTTACATATTTATCCGAAATATGAATATTCATAAGCGATGATACATAAATATAAAGAAACTTTTTTTTTTAAATATAAAAAGCGTTTTTATACTTTGATCATAGATAAGTAGCTCGCGTGGTGAGCTAGGTTTTTAGTGTTAAAAATGATTGATGGTTTCCATTGAATGAGATACATTTTTATTTTTTTTTTATTTTTTTCATAAATGTTAACATGACTAAATGTAGTTCTTAACAATGAATTGGTAAATATAAGACGTGAATTAGCATGATGTAAGGGATCTTGACTGTAAGGGATTTATTTAGCTGTTGACTGCAAGGGATTTATTTGGTTTTTGACTGTAAGGGATTTACTTGGTTGTTGACTGTTAGGGATTTATTTAGCTGTTGGCTGTAAGGGATTTATTTAGCTGTTGACTGTTAGGGATTTATTTAGCTGTTGACTGTTAGGGATTTATTTAGCTGTTGACTGCAAGGGATTTATTTGGTTGTTGACTCAGATGTAGAGGTGTGTAATAGGGAGTGGGTAAAGCAGTGTGGTGTGTGGGGAAGTGTGTGAGGAAATGTGTGGGGAAGTAGGCGGAAGTTGGGGGGGAAAGGGTGGGCGGATGTGGGGGAAATACAGTGAGTATGTTAGGCATTAAGTGTGAGTATGTATGAAGAATGGGTGGGGTGTGTGGGGAATGAGTGTATGTGAAGAAAAGTAAAAAATGTGTGAAGGCATTAGTGAGAGTATTAGCTGGATTGTGTGTGGGTGAATTGATGGAGGGTGGGGGTGAAAAATGTTTTTTAAAATAACTGGAATGCATTATTATGAGGAAGGGTAGAGGAATTAACTGAGTTTATGGTAATATGGAAGGGGGGTACGTAAGAGAATTTTTTGGGGGGAATGGGCGATATTATGATGAGCCATTAGGGCAATCGATAGCATTATAAGGGGTGAGTAATGTTAGATAACAGGAACAATATGTGTGTTAACAAATGCCGAGATTTTTAAATTGACCAGCAGAGTTTTTTTTTAATATATACTTTCTTAAAGCTAAATTTTGGGTTTTATACTTTTAATATATTCAATAATTTGTTGTTTGTTGTTTTTTTAAAGGAATTGTTAGTTATTTAGTTATGTTTTGTTGATTTTCATCAAACGAGCATTTGTACTTTATATTTAATCTAAAGACTGTATTTTTTCTTCTTTTTTTGGCCTATTTTCTTGTGCTTACTCTGACGATTCCTGTTCAATGAACGACTAATTCCTTTTGATTACTTCAGAACATTTAGATTAAGGTCAAGCAAGGCTAAAAATAGCATTTGTTTACATATCATACATCCCATCGCGATCCTCTGCGCATGCTCAGAGACAGGCCATTAACCGATACGTGAATTATGGCAATACGATGGCCGCCGAGCTCGCTTTAATTATCTTCTCCTTGTTTGTGCAGTGGGCGCCATATTGTCGCTGTCATGTCCTCATTCATCTGTCATTGTTATCTGATGTTGGATGGCGGGTATGCTTTAGGTATCTGCTGTTATCGTCAAGAAGAGGGATGATAAAAAAAATTGTGGCTTGTTAAAGCTTTGGGGATTTTCCGCATACTGATAAAATAAATGTCCGCTAGCCAAGGACAGGGACGACTTGTAAGAGCCTGGGAAATGTCCGGGTAATGTTATTAATATAATTATTAACGTCAGCGTACAAGGCAAGGACATTGTAGGCGATGTCACATAGCAATTGGGTTCTTGTACAGCTTATAAACCGCTTCAACCCCTAACCTTAAAATCATTGTGTTCATAATGCTGAACCTAACCTGGTTCTTCTAAATCCATGTCTAAACCTAAAGTTAGATGTATACATACGCCGCATCTTATCTTTAAACCTACACTAGAAAATTGAATTAAACCTAACCATAAAGGCATACCCAAATATTATCTCAATACCAGAAGCCAACCCAAGACTAAATGATAAATCTAATCCTTACCCTACCTTTTAAACTCTTCCCATACTGAAACACTAGCAAGCATCCCTTTTCTTAACGAGAATCTACAGAAGCTAAAACTTTCGTTGACACCCAAATTGAAAAATAACCTAAAGCAATATCTGTTATACTTCAGTACATTTTCAATATTCTAAATTTGAACGATCATCTTTTCCCAATTGTGTCTAATACACATGGGGCAGATAAAGCAGTGTTCATCTCTTGCAATAACCTCGGCTTACAAGGGAATAGTATGGTCAGCACTATACCCAGCCGCCTTTGTTTTCCCTAACGTGAGTTAGATACCCATCAGAGCATCGTTTAAAACTTCAACGATAGCAGTATGTTAATTCGAATATTGCAAAGCTACCAAATCCCCTTTTCTGGTTTGTACCCGTATTTTCTGTTATTAACACACACATTTTTTTTTTAACCAGCGAGTCCAGATAGGTCGCGAACTAAGTCCTGTAACGATCATAAACCACCTCATCAATTTATTTTTTAAATTATCCATCGCTACCAAAACTCATACGGTGTCTTCATAAAAAACACCCCTAAAAAACTATCCGGTTAACCAGTCTACACCATCCATCACACCACCACAACAACCCTACACGGGCGATAAATCCCCCATCAGCAGTCGACGTTACACCGGCTCCCGTCTGTTGCAGGCTGGCCTCACAACAAACTGTTGGAGAAGACGCTGTACCTCCAGGTCATCGACTACGACAGGTTCAGCAGGGACGACCCCATTGGCGAGACCTACATCCCGCTCAACGAGGTCGACCTCTCGCAGTCACCGGTGCTCTGGAAGTATCTGCAGCCGTGTAAAGATTCTAGGGTAAGTTTTGTTTTAATATTCGGGTAAAGATTCTAGGGTACGTTTGGTTTTATTGTTCGGGTAAAAGATTCTAGGGTAAGTTTTGTTTTATAATTTGGGTAAAGATTCTAGGGTAAGTTTCGTTTTAGTGTTCGGGTAAAGATTAATGGGTAAGTTTTGTTTTAATATTCGGGTAAAGATTCTAGGGTGAGTTTTGTTTTATTTATTGATGAGGTAAAGATTCTAGGGTAAGTTTCGTTTTATTGATGAGGTAAAGATTCTAGGGTAAGTTTCGTCTGGGTAACTATTCTTCTTTCTTCTTCTTCTTCGTTCTTAATTTTTGAATATGGTGGAGGATTCAGACAACAAGTCCAACTTCGTGGACAAACCGGACTGTGGTTTCCAGTTTGTCAGGTGTCCCATATAATTTTTCCCTGAGTGGGGTGGGCTGGGGCCAGTGTCTGCCTCTTGCCTGGCTATACAGAGTACATTCTTGGAGTACGTGCTCTGTGTTTTCCGGGGCCTTGCCACAAGGGCACATTTCGCTACACCCAACCTTCAGTTTTTTGTGCATGTGTTGATTTAGTCTGTTGTGGCCTGTTCTGAGTCGAAAGATTATGTATTGTTGTTTTCGTGTTAAATTGTAATAGCCGTCGTCTTTAATGTAGTGAGGGTGTGTGACAGACCACATTTGCGTTTGTTTGTTTTTAATTATTCTTTTTATTTCTTTTGGGTGTAGCGAAATTTCCGGTTGTGGTTTCTTTCCCCCAATTTTAATTTACCTTCTGATCCTTGCCCCTGGCTGGCCAGGCAAGAATAGAGGAACCACCAGCTCGCTTTTGTGGGCTCCTTCGAGGCGGAGAGCCCGGCCCCCTACCTGCGCGGCGGGATTCCACAGGCAGGACGCCACTTCTGTTAGTCCTATTTCTTTCCTCCATCATAAAATTAAGCAGTGCGTGCCAGCATGTTATGCGCCATACTAGATGGCCCGTTGACTCCGACTTCAGCCTGCTTTTCTTTCTGGATTTGCTTCCATAGCCTTTGATCACCCAAGAACAAACTACAAGGCAGTAGCTGTTTGATTTTGGAGTTGTCTCTCCTAGATGGGTTGCTGTCCCCAGCTAACGAGCCCCATCTGCCCGGGTTTGGAGTTATAGCGCCCCATGCTCGCCGTTGAAGTCATTTCCTTGGATTTATGAGATGTTTTTGTATTAGATATCCTAACCAATGGATATCCCACCTCATCCTCCATGACCACAAACCAGTTGGTCCACGGCTGTTTATTTGGTATTCACAGCTAACCCTCATATCTAAGGGCCTCTCCCCTATCCGCCACCTGGGGACGCGCTCGGTAGGAGATGGTAGCTCCCTCAATAAGTTTCATTTGATTCAATGATAGGGCAAATATTCAAGTTAAAGTTTCTTCTATTTTATTATGTGGCTAAAGATTCTAGAGTAAGTTTGGCTCAACCCCTTTCTTTCTATTAGTAATATTTCTAATGCAGATTTCCTTTGGTTTATTTAAACCTTGTCGGTGAAATTAGTGTAAAAATTATCGGGTAAGATTTGCTTTGTTTGTTTCTTTATTTTGGTAATAATTATAGGATACATTTTTTCTTTCATTCGACTAAAATCTATATGTCTTTCCTGCATACATATACCCATTAAATAGTAAATTTCAATTTATTTATGTGTCCTTTCATTCAATTCTTGCAAACATTCTATGTATATTTCACCAGGTGTAATGTTTTATTCGGGTCAAAACTTTAATTACAAGTTACTTTCGTTCAACTTGTTCGGAATATTCTAGAAACGATTATCTCGCACGTGGTTACTTTTTAAGAACCGGTAGCTTATCTGACAGCGGGATTAGAGTTTGTTTATTTAGTAAAAGTTAATGATGTTGTCAACAGAAAGCCTGGCAAACGTTCTAGAATATTTCTTAGCATGTGCGCGAGTGTCGTTGCGCAGTAACGTCTAACGCAGGGGAAGAAGGGGTGGGCAGTGCGAACCAGTAATTTTATTGAGAAAGTTTTCTTTTCCAAATTAGTTTAATAATTAATTAAGGTGGTATACATCATTGGAGGGAAACAAAGGCGGCTGGGCATAGTGCTGATCACATTGTCTCCTTGTATGTCGATGTCGTTGAAACAGATTAGCTCTACTTCATCTGCCCTATGTGTCATGGGCACAAATGGCAAAAGATGATGATGATATACATCATCAGGCACAGTGCACAAACATAGGAGATCAGGATGACACTAAATTCTATATTATTTTAGTACATTGGCGGGGGGAGGGGGGGGGGGGTTGCCACACCGGATGTCACCCGACCTAGTGACGCCCTGTCTATATGTTTTGTTGTTGTTGTTTTTTTTTTTATATTTCCTCTTGCTTGACATTTTGATACCAAGATTTCTTCTCTCCATCGGTCCTTGATGTAACCACGTTGTTCTCTCGTCTGCCTCGCCGATCTGATTTCTGCTAAACATTTTGTCATTAGTTCCCCCCCCCCCCCCTTCTGCCTGTGAGTCGTCTTCCTGTCTGCCCAATTGTCTGCTGTCTGTCTTTTTTTTCTGTCTTATTCCTTCCAGCCATCCTCCTCGGAATTTCTTCTCGCTCATTTGCTCTAAGGTAGAAATCGATGACCTCCTCTGTGAGAGTGCCGTATGTATGATTACACTAGGCCGGTCACGTGGGTCACTAATCCCCCCTGACCACCAACTGGATGACCACAAGAGCTACATGACCAGATTTTTTTCTAAATATCCCCGCTGCATCTGGACATTTCCTGGACATGCGTGATTCAACTTCCGGCTAAACTCACCACAGCTCAGTGATTTTTTTTTTTTATGATTTTTTTTTGTAACCAAACCAGTGTGTATTTAATCTGAAATTAAATCATCTCGTCTACAATCGCAATCAATAGATAAAGAGGTCACACGACTTCGCCTAATGGCTTTTGAATCTGTGTCGTTCGTCTGGTAGGGAAAGCTAATCTGCTGAGGAATTTCTAGGTCCTGAAAGACGCATCGTGATCTAATAGCTGTTTTATTTGCTGTTGTTGTTTTTTTTTCCGTCGCCTGGCATTTTTTAAATTAGTTGTTTCAGCTTTGTTGTTTTTTGTCCATCAGCATAGTGACCCGACCTAAATTGTCTTTAGGGCGTTTTTTATTGGTGAGTACAACTTCACAGCACGTGAGTTTAACTCGTCTGGTCTGCTGACATTTGCGACGAGAGTCTAGTTGAAGTTTGCTACATTGTGCGGATACTGACGGTGGAAATTATTGTGAGCCCTTAATGACTCCCATGGCATATATATGTATTTGTTAGCTGTAAAACATCACTCTACTGCACCTACGATGCGAGATATCCTGGCTGTAGCCGGCACCCTCTCGTCTAGATCCGCCTCTGGGTGTGAGCACTCTTAGCAAACTAACTATTTCTTGACTCACACGTTTTGTCTCTAAGTTGAAAACACTTGCAGCGAGTGTGGCTGGTTTATACAGCATGTATTGTTTTTTTTTATATTGTTTTTGTTGTTTACGGTCAACCACAAATACCGCCAAGTTTTCTTGCTTATGTTAACCGCTGCTCCACCACCACCCATATAACAGAAAGTCAGATTTCCCCGACCCCCCCCCCCCCTCCTAAAATCAGATTTTATTTTCCCCCACCGCAAATATTAGATTAGGCACAGCTGTCACTTTTATGACATTTTTCAAAGTCATTTTTTTTAATTGTGAGGGGATCACTAAATTCAATTTTTTAATAATTATTTTTTTTATTAAATGCAAATGAGTGACGCAACACTTTAATTATTCCCCTCCCCCCCCCCCCCCCCCCCACTTGTCACACATCGTCACAAAATTCCAAAAGCCTCCCCCCCCCCTCTCACCCGAATTAAGTGTGACGTCATGTACGACCCCCTTAAAAAAAAATCTTACCTCAAATGATTGCCAAACTTGTCTACCTATATTTGAAAAAAAAAGTACCTTATTTGTTGTATGTCTTAAGTTCAGCTCTACTGAAAGAAATACGAGCTCCAAAACTGTTCTCTACAACAACCTTCTGGGTGAGTTCAGTCCAGCAGAAAAGTAGAGCGAAGTTCATTGTACGTGAGCCAAAAAAATAGCCATTTCCATAATTTTACAAAGCTAAATTCGGCGAGATATTGATTACGCGCAATTTGCATCGGCCGATGGGACGAACGTGGATAAATATCTCAAGTTTTATTTTCATAACCTTCGCTGCGGGCCTTCTCTTGACGTGATGGCTGGAAGACGAAATTGTAACTTTCGGAGAATCCGTTTTGATGCGCTGGGGCTAGGAGTGTTTTTAATGTTGTCAAGTCTGAGCCATATTTTTGACAGGTTGGAGTGCTTTGAACTCTGTAATTGCCAGATGACTAGGCGGTTCTGTCGCGGGGAATTCGGTTCAGTGAAGGTGATTTACTTTATGCTTTAGTCGCGGGGAATTCGGTTCAGGGAAGATGATTTACTTTATGCTTTAGTCGCGGGGAATTCGGTTCAGGGAAGGTGATTTACTTTATGCTTTAGTCGCGGGGAATTCGGTTCAGGGAAGGTGATTTACTTTATGCTTTAGTCGCGGGGAATTCGGTTCAGGGAAGATGATTTACTTTATGCTTTAGTCGCGGGGAATTCGGTTCAGGGAAGGTAATTTACTTTATGCTTCTATTTCGGGGAATTCGGTTCAGGGAAGGTGATTTACTTTATGCTTTAGTCGTGGGGAATTTGGTTCAGGGAAGGTGATTTACTTTATGCTTTAGTCGCGGGGAATTCGGTTCAGGGAAGGTGATTTACTTTATGCTTTAGTCGCGGGGAATTCGATTCAGGGAAGGTGATTTACTTTATGCTTCAGTCGCGGTGAATTCGGTTCAGGGAAGGTGATTTACTTTATGCTTCTATTTCGGGGAATTCGGTTCAGGCAAGGTGATTTACTTTACGCTTTAGTCGCGGGGAATTCAGTTCAGGGAAGATGATTTACTTTATGCTTTAGTC